GAGGCGCATAGTGAAAACGTTCGAAATTGTTCTTGAAATCCACGTACCTTTGAATTTCTCATTCAAATTTTGATGAATAAATCATAAACTCTACAGAAAAGAGACTAATATTCAAAACATAGTCGAATGATATACTTATAAATATCTTAGATATATTCTAGAGAGACAAATTGTCTAACCCGACAGAGTGAAACAACTTTCCTAGCAGCAAACTTAGCAATATAACCTTTTCACTTAACGTCAGCAGAGAACCTTAGCCCGAGACAGCACAACGATCCACTCTCCTGAAGCTTAGCCTCAACCTTAGTGATAGCAGGCAGAAAAGACTTCGATCAGATGAGTAACAGAAATCAGTTTCGTTTTGAGACGTTAAAATTAACAAGCTTAGTCGACAGGTTTTAGGTCACATTTGGGATCAGATGCCAATAATGATTCCGTCAAATATGCGCTTCTATTTCGTCTAATCATTTCATTACCTGACTAGAAAGAAAGAAAAACCTATTTTATGTATGTCCAAATTAATTTTAAAGCAACAAAATATATAATACAGTATAACGTTTCTTTCCCCGAAAGGTGAGAAACCAATTTCACTTTTGCATAATGATTGAGTTCATTCAATCACAATTGTTCAGTCCAACCAAACAGGCTCATTACATTAATGGCTGACCCTGGAGCAGAACCTATATTGCTGAGAACTCCTTATAACGACATCTCTTCACAATTCTATTTCATCAGCTGCAACTCTAATTGATTTCTGCCGGTGTCTGTCAGCGCAACATCTCCGTTTTGATCAGTAACATTGGAAGAGTTGTTCGAACGACTGCAGTCATTTGGATGCACTTATCATTACCGGAGAGGCTCGGACGATCAATTCTTCAGTTTTATTTAAGTTCTCCCGTTAGACATCATTAGCCATCCGCCATCTTGCTGCCGATTGAGAAGAAAGAGTGTATCAAAGTAAAGACGGCTTCCATTGCGCGCGACAACAAATATTTTTAATTGAGTTCACACCAGAATCCTCCAGAAAATCCATCGTGAAATGTGTCTCCTAATAAATCAACGTCTTTTACGACGGCAAACCAAAAGAAAGTCTTTAATTTTCACTGAGATTCTACCAGAATCCTTCATAAAATACGACTTATTTTTTTAAAGATGAAAAAGAGTTTTCTGAACAGATCTGTTGAGGAGGGCCGTGTGCGTTTGCGTATTGTTGTATTAGAAACACGCGTGTAACTTGTGGATTCCGTGAATGGAATCCTGCACAAATAAAGAAACAACACCAGTAATTGAGATAGAAAATAAGAGCATTAAACGTAAGAATACAGACTTGAAATGAAGATTAGTAGTCCAGGAATGCGAGTTAGAAGAAAATATATATACAAGTCTCTGTAAGTAAAGCCGTAATCATATATATATATATATATATATATATATATATATCTGGACTCTTGTATAACTCTCTGAGAACAGCCTGTGTCTGTCTCCGTATCTCTCAACCTGTCTCAACGTATCTCCACGTATCTCAACGTATCTAAACGAATCTCAACCAGCAGGCATTCTCTCTGTCAGTATAAGTATACTTTGGACGAGTCCATCTTATGTAAAAAGGGGAGAGCCACACAACATAACTCCTGGTAGAATATTAAAAGGTCCAACTACAAGAAAATGGCCGGACTTGAATTAAGTCCAACTAACCCAGAGAGCCAGACGGACCTACCAAGTTTTCACCTAAGCGGATCGTCAGAGAATGCTGGTTTACCTAGGTCTGCTCTACTCATAGTATTGAGCACGTTATTTAGTTGTTTTGGGTAATCTCATCGGGTTTTTTTTTCTTTGGGCCTTGAACTCATATGCTGGACAATTATTTTCGTTTAACGTATATGTTCTTGGTTCTTTCTTTTATTTGTACCTTTTTTTTCTTTGGTATTAGCTTGTTTATTTGCAAGTCAATACATCGAAGGTTTTCCGAGTGAGTATAGTTTCTTATACTCATAAAATTTCTATTAATAATATATATATATATATATATATATATATATATATATATATATATATTTAAAAATTTTATAATGGATATAGACAATAATATTTGAGTATGTCTGAATGTTTATGTCTGTTCTTTGGTAAATGTTCGTATGTATAATGTTCATAGCGTCTCCCACAAATGGGAACACGTGGATCGTCTAAGAGAGCTTACATTGTAGTCGCTGAAATGAAGAAATGAAAAAGAGGACGAGGCGAGAAGTCGGCCAGTATTTATAGTATAGGGAGAATGACCCCTAGTGACAATTTGGGAATTAAGAAGGAGCTAACTCCGACAGATCTTAATCGAAAAACTGGTTTCTCTCTACGTACACCACGATCTGAGTTTTCTACCGGTGTAAGAGACCATAATATACGCCAGTTTTACATTAAACCCTCGGCTTACTCCATGCCATATGTTGTAGATTAGACTGTTTTATAAACGTAGTCTAAGCCATATTTATTACAACGTTTCTGCCGTTGTACGCTGCGAACTTCTTCAAAGTGTTGGAATGTCGAACTGAACCCTTTATTTCGCTCACTGGGGTAGACGTTTCTAGTTCCACGTGCCATGTCTCAAGGACACATGGCACAGTGTATAAAGGCGTTAGTTACATCCAGCGAGACGACCCAAAGAGTATGAACTTGGAGAGGGGAACTAACAGGAGATAACTGACATCCATCAAACATGGCACGTGGAACTAGAACAAGAGCGTACAACGGTCAAAAGGTTGTTATAAATATGGCGACAAAGATGAGGACAATAGTCCGAATAATGTAAATAGTGTACATAATAGCTCATCTCAATAAATATGGCGACAAAGATGAGGACAATAGTCCGAATAATGTAAATAGTGTACATAATACCTCATCTCAGAAATATAGACAGATACTGAAAGGCCGAAACGTTGTAATAAATATGGCGACAAAGATGAGGACAATAGTCCGAATAATGTAAATAGTGTACATAATACCTCATCTCAGAAATATAGACAGATACTGAAAGGCCGAAACGTTGTAATAAATATGGCGACAAAGATGAGGACAATAGTCCGAATAATGTAAATAGTGTACATAATACCTCATCTCAGAAATATAGACAGATACTGAAAGGCCGAAACGTTGTAATAAATATGGCGACAAAGATGAGGACAATAGTCCGAATAATGTAAATAGTGTACATAATACTCATCTCAGAAATATAGACAGATACTGAAAGGCCGAAACGTTGTAATAAATATGGCGACAAAGATGAGACAATAGTCCGAATAATGTAAATAAAATATGTAATAATGAGTTCGAAATAAAAGATGAACCGAATAATGTAAATAGTGTAAACGTATAATAGCTCATCTCAGAAATATAGACAGATACTGAAAGGCCGAAACGTTGTAATAAATATGGCGACAAAGATGAGGACAATAGTCCGAATAATGTAAATAGTGTACATAATAGCTCATCTCAGAAATATAGACAGATACTGAAGGTCCGAAACGTTGTAATAAATATGGCGACAAAGATGAGGACAATAGTCCGAATAATGTAAATAGTGTACATAATAGCTCATCTCAGAAATATAGACAGATACTGAAGGTCCGAAACGTTGTAATAAATATGGCGACAAAGATGAGGACAATAGTCCGAATAATGTAAATAGTGTACATAATAGCTCATCTCAGAAATATAGACAGATACTGAAGGTCCGAAACGTTGTAATAAATATGGCGACAAAGATGAGGACAATAGTCCGAATAATGTAAATAGTGTACATAATAGCTCATCTCAGAAATATAGACAGATACTGAAGGTCCGAAACGTTGTAATAAATATGGCGACAAAGATGAGGACAATAGTCCGAATAATGTAAATAGTGTACATAATAGCTCATCTCAGAAATATAGACAGATACTGAAGGTCCGAAACGTTGTAATAAATATGGCGACAAAGATGAGGACAATAGTCCGAATAATGTAAATAGTGTACATAATAGCTCATCTCAGAAATATAGACAGATACTGAAATATAGTCCGAAACGTTGTAATAAATATGGCGAAAAGATGAGGACAATAGTCCGAATAATGTAAATAGTGTACATAAATCTCAGAAATATAGACAGATACTGAAAGTCCGAAACGTTGTAATAAATATGGCGACAAAGATGAGGACAATAGTCCGAATAATGAAATAGTGTAGTCATTAGAATAATGTAAAAATATGGCGGATAAAGATGAGGACAATAGTCCGAATAATAAATAGCTCATCTCAGAAATATAGACAGATACTGAAAGGCCGAAACGTTGTAATAAATATGGCGACAAAGATGAGGACAATAGTCCGAATAATGTAAATAGTGTACATAATGCCCCATCTCAGAAATATAGACAGATATCAAAATTAAACCAAAAAGGTCGCTTGTACTCAGAATCGAGAAGAGAGAGTTTAAAATTGTAGGACACATAATGATGATTGTTTTTTTCTGCTTCTTTTGGATTTTTTTTTTTACGGCATAACAACCTCAATGGGTCATTCAATGCCGACAACATTTTTGTACTTTCATAGTGTTTTGACCCCTTTTGGTGGGGGCAACTATTTGTGCATAGTTGGGACCCTAACAGGTGCTACCACCCTGGGTCATGGTGGACCTGGAACACCAGAAATTAAAAGGTGGTATCACGCTCCTCAAAGCCTGATCAGAGGCCTTACTGCCGGATGTAGTTTATCGTCTTACCCAGGACGAACATAATGATGAAGTACGGCTTGGAGAATTTGATTCTCACAGGATATACTGAGACAAAAGGACAGAGGAAAGCAACCGAATAACGTACCTAACGATGTTGTATAAATGGTTGGTAGAACAGAGAGTGGAAAGGGTTGTAAAATGTCAAAATTTTAGATAACAGGCAGGAAATTGTGGAGAGCCATGATCCATCAATGTCCTGAAGGGATAGGGAACAAAGAAGAAGAAGAAGCAGAAGGACAAGCAGGAGGAGCAGAAGAAAGACAAGAAGAAGAAGAAGAAGAAGAAGAAGAAGAAGAAGAAGAAGAAAAAGACAAGGAGGAGGAGCAGAAGAAGAAGAAGAAAAGAAGAAGAAGATGAAAGACAAGAAGAAGAAGAAGAAAAAAGACAAGAAGAAGAAAGAGAAGAAGGAGCAGCAGCATCAGAAGAAGAAGGACAAGAATAAGAATAAGATGAAAGACAAGAAGAAGAAGAAAGAAAAGAAGAAGAAGATGATGATGATGAAAAAAGACGAGAAGAAGAAGAAGAAGAAGAAGAAGAAGAAGAAGAAAGAAAAGAAGGAACAGCAACATCAGAAGAAGAAGAAGGACAAGAAGAAGAATAAGATGAAAGACAACAAGAAGAAGAAGATGAAGAAAGACAAGAAGGAGCAGGAGAAGAAGAAGAAGAAGAAGAAGAAGAAGAAGAAGAAAGACAAGCAGAAAAAGAAAGAGAAGAAGGAGCAGCAGCATTAGAAGAAGAAGAAGAAGAAGAAGAAGAAGAAGAAGAAGAAGAAAGACAAGAATAAGATGAAAGACAAGAAGAAGAAGAAGAAGAAGAATAAGATGAAAGACAAGAAGAAGAAGAAGATGACGAAAGACAAGAAGGAGCAGAAGAAGAAGAAGAAGAAGAAGAAGAAGAAGAAGAAGGAACTCTTGTGTGGAATTAGGTCATGGGAATTTCTTACAACTTGCGTACTGTTCCAAAATTGAATCAGCGCACGCCAAGTTTCTTTATCAATAACTCGCATAAGGTGCGAAACCAATTTCAGAAACTCTATAAAAAAGAGACAAAGAATTCAGTTTAATTACAGCTTGTTTGGTGCGCATAGCTACAGTGGAAGATCTCAGGAAAATAGCAAGAGATTCCTTCAATTTCCTACATACAACCATCCGAGCATATATCAGTTGTGACAATAGGTGTTTATATTATCAGACAAACTAACTTTTCGACATTTTTTCAGGATCATATATACAATAAGCATATCCCTCTGTATGTGCAAACAGGCATATAATGCGTATTTATATATTTCTATGTATATAATACATACGCAAACACACACACACACACACCCTCACACACACACACACACACACACACACACACACACACACACACACACACACACATATATATATATATATATAATAAAAAGGCTTAAAACTAATATTCTATGGTTATAATAGATTACATTGGAATCGCAATTACGATCCAATTTATCATTGATCGTAATTGAGATTCCAATGGAATAAATTATAACCATGGAATATTAGTGTTTAAGCCTTTTATTATATTATATATATATATCCTATATATATTGAGTTCTATCTGGATGCTATCCTATAGAATATATATATATATATATATATATATATATATATATATATGTGTGTGTGTGTGTGTGTGTGTGTGTGTGTGTGTGTGTGTGTGTGTGTATATATGTATGTATTTATATATTTTATTTATATATATATATATATATATGTGTATATTAACCACTTATATTATCTCTCTCTCTCTCTCTATATATATATATATATATATATATATATATATATATATATATATATAATGCATGTTTCATTAAATAATATAGACAAGTTTTGTCTATTTATTTTCGGTAAGTTCCTTTCATATTGTCTGATAAGCTTAATAACATTATGATCGAAAGACGAAAGGAAAGGAAATCATCGTATTGATACATGTTTAAATCCAATCCTAAGCTTTCGGTTTACATAAGCCATTATCAAAGATGACAGTTACATTTCAATATATCAAACAATACATGGGCCTAACAATAATGATTGTCTGTTTTTGTTGCATGAAAAATGTTAAAGCAACGACTAACTCGTGTATACGAGACGCGGAAGCAAAAATCGCGTTGCAGCTCGTGACGTCACGCATGATCACGCGAGAGTGAAAACGAGAATTATTAAGTATGGGAAGCCGTTGGTATAAACTAATGCTTCTAATGGCTTCTGTTATCTATTATAGAAATTTAATTTGTGCGTAAGTGAATCTAAAGAACTTGAGTGGAATTCGAACTCGTCCCTTCAAGTTCTCCCTCCGATCTGATATCCATTAAATCACTACGTTCAAATTGACTTTTCCATAAAAGTTTAATTTAAAACCTATACCGTGCTAACAAAACGTTACTTTTATGTCAGATAATATATAACCAGATCTAAATATTTATCAAGGGATTTTTTTTCATAATTAATTACGAGAAAAATTGATATTATTTCAAATTAAAAAAAAAAGTTTCACTCATCTATTGTTCAATTGATTATTGAAATTTTAATGAAATCGGTTATTGTCTAAACAACTGGGGAATTTATTTATTAAGTGGTTTTGCAAAGAATAATTTTTAACTTAAATATACCAACTTTCATGAAAGCTAACGTAATTTCTTTTGAATCATAGATATGCTTCAGAAGTTTTAAAATAATTCAACGTAAATTTTAAAGTAATTCAGTTTTTTTTTTTTCTGTAAGAAAAATCTCATTGAAACATTTTCCTACAGCGTTAATATCAAAAATAGAAAATAAAATTATTGTTTGGTATTTTAGTTTAAATCATGTTATATTTCTATAGTTTCTATCCGCATAACATAAAGGCAAAATCAAATATTAAATAAAAATATTTTTATAAAAAAAGTGTAAGAAATGTAATGAAAATGTGAAGCATAAATTATGTCAATATTGTTGCCTTTGATCACACACTGTTTTCTTTCTATCAAATAATAATGGAGTTTCAATAAGAGTGAAATGCAGAAATGTATCAATAATCGTTATTCGTTTTAGTAGTTGTTTTCGTAGAGTTTTTAGTTTGGCATGTATGGAAGGCCCGTTACGCAATAACCTGATAATCGGATACGTTATTGTTTCAGTTCATACTGGATAAGTGTCTGCAGGTTAAAAGATATTTTTTATGTAATTTGGGGCGTGGAATAAAGAGACGTTTGTACTCTCATCACTGACCACACACAAAGCATGCACACACACAAAGCACACACACATACACATACAAAGCACACACGCACACACTCATACACACAACCTTTAGAATTGTGAGGGAGACTGAATGTCGAAAACCTATGAACAAAATACATGCTTTTCCTGAAAAACTGAAGTTTCTATTCTAAACGATTAGATAAATTTGAAGCAAAACTATATATTTACTTGTTTGAAACAATGACTCATGAAATATAATAATAATAATAATAATAATAATAATAATAATAATAATAATAATAATTAAAATACTAATAATAATTGCATTTATCCACCCCTTCGTTAGTTCGCACTAGAGTTACACCTGCCAATGCCTAATGTAGAAAGACAAAAGACATCAAAGATGCTACTTGGTTTCAAAGAAAGAAAGAAAGAAAAAAAGAAAGAAAGAAGTGCTTAATGTCTTTCCATAAATAACGGACTATTTCATTGCGTTTGACAAAACAAAAGACGTATTCAAGATGTTGCTTGATTTCTGTCAAAAACTGAAAGAAAGAAAGAAAGAAAGAAGTCCTTAATGTCTCTTCATAAATAACGGACTATTTCATTTAAATCCTTTTACAAAACAAAAGACGTATTAAAGACATTACTTGATTTCTGTCAAAAACTGAAAGAAAGAAAGAAAGAAAATAGAACCTGAAGAAGGCCGGAACATACAATGGCAGAAACGTTATAATAAATATGGCGACAAAGATGAGGACAATAGTTCGTATAATGCAAATAGTGTACATAATACCTCATCTCAGAAATATAGACAGATACTGAAAGGCCGAAACGTTGTAATAAATATGGCGACAAAGATGAGGACAATAGTCCAAATAATGTAAATAGTGTACATAATACTTCATCTCAGAAATATAGACAGATACTGAAAGGCCGAAACGTTGTAATAAATATGGCGACAAAGATGAGGACAATAGTCCGAATAATGTAAATAGTGTACATAATACCTCGTCTCAGAAATATAGACAGATACTGAAGGGCCGAAACGTTGTAATAAATATGGCGACAAAGATGAGGACAATAGTCCGAATAATGTAGATAGTGTACATAATACCTCATCTCAGAAATATAGACAGATACTGAAGGGCCGAAACGTTGTAATAAATATGGCGACAAAGATAAGGACAATAGTCCGAATAATGTAAATAGTGTACATAATACTTCATCTCAGAAATATAGACAGACACTGAAAGAAGTTGTACTCTCAAGAAACAGTTTAATATACCTGAAACCCAACCAACAAAAATAACGAATCGAATAACCTCTACGCTAAACGAGTAAAACAGAAAACAAAACAACTTGGCCAAATGAAATTACAAAATGAAAAGAAAAAACTGGGATAATTAGGCGTTGCATATCAAATACCTAAAATGAACGAAAGAAGCAGGTATGGACCAATAGAAAGCACATCAGTGGCTGAGGAGAACAGGGTTGAAAGGTGAAACAGAAGGTCGAATTATAGCAGCTCAGGACCAAAGCTTCGTAACCAGATACTTTGACTATCACATAATCAAAGATGGAACTCACCGGAAATGCAGTATGTGCAAAAAATATGATGAAACTCTTGATCATATTATCTCAGGATGTCCAGAAGTGGCAAAAAATGAATATACGCACAAACATAACACGTTAGCGACATATGTGCACTGAATGATATGCAAGAAGCACAAAATCGAAACAATTGAGAGATGGTATGAGCACCAACCAGACACAGTTACCCAAAATAACGATGGGACATGCCAATTCAAACTGGCAGGGAAATAAAAGCCAAAAAACCCGATATTGTCGTAAAAGACAACAAATAAATAAAAAAAAAAACTTATCAGTTTTTAATAATTTCTTTTTGATCTTCTTTGCAAATCATGACTTACATTCAGAGGGGAATTTCCCTTTGGTCTTTTATAGCGGAATTCGCAAAGCGCTTATTCAATCAGGAAGTGTATGCAATCAGGAAGTGTATGCTCATTGACATAGCAGTACCCTCTGAGAGAAATACCTCCTTGAAAATTATCGAGAAATTGTCAAATGCAATGACCTGGAGATCGTGATTAACATGATGTTGGGAATGAAGACTGAGACTGTCCCAATAGTAATCGGAACTCAGGGGCTAATGAGAAAAGGAATAGAATTTTTTACTAACAGTCTCCGAGGTAACATCAACATACAAATTGCTCAGAACATCCCATATAATAAGAAAATATGTTATACATTATGAAATGGACAAAGTCCGACAATTATTTAAGACATTTTCTTTATGTTTATACGTTCTTTTTAAACATACAAATATTGAAGTAAATGCTCTGTTTATAATAAAGAGTATTAACAAAATTTACCGGCCGGAATATCCGAGAAAATTTCATAGAATATATGCGTCATCCGACAAACTGATGGGGAGTTCCACGTCAATGAAATATCCGTAGAAATTCCACAATCACATTGTTAAATATCAGTCATCAGTTAGTAACTGGATAAGCTGATGGCGAGTTCTACATCAATGAAATATCCGTAGAAATTCCGCTACCACATCGATAAATATCGGATTATGACAATTGAAATATATATATATATATATATATATATATATATATATATATATATATATATATATATTGCAATAACATCAAAGAAAGGGGGTACAAATGAAAAGAAAATTGAATTACTTTTTTTTCCATTTCATTGAAATAAACTTTAAACTTTAGAGACTGTTTTCGCCTCTTCTATATTCTCTTCATTTTTCTTTCTTTCTTTCATTTTCTCCACTGAAACCAAGTAGCGTCTCTTATATATGTTTTCCGTATTTTCATGTAATCAAAACGTAATTGTCAATTATTTATTAGGTATTGGCAGGGTTAACTAAATGACGTATAAGCAAAATTATAAAATAATAATAATAATAATAATAATAATAATAATAATTACACATTAAACGTAACAATGTATTCTGAAAACTGAATGAAAATTTCATCTTAGTCATTTATGTTAACTTTCAAACGAATTACCTTTTCGCAAAAGCAAACAGAGCCTTTAATATATATTTTTTCGTCTATTCTTTCAATCAAATACAAATGATCCATTCTTTATCTGACGTAATGGTAGTGCTAAATGTAAGGAATGAATAACGATGGAACAACAACAAGAATAGAAATAATAATAATAATAGTTATTATAATAATAATAATAGTAATAATAATAATACTAGTAATAACAATACTAATAATAATATTAGTAAGAATAATAATAGTAATAATAATCATAAAATTAGTAATAATAATATTAGTAATAATAATAATACTAGTAGTATTAATAATAATAATGATACTAGTAATAATGATAATATTAGTAATAATAATAATATTAGTAATAATAATAGTGATAATAATAATAGTAATAATAACAGTAGTAGTAATAATAATAATATTAGTAATAATAATTGTGATAATAATAGTAGTAGTAGTAGTAATAATAATAATAATATTAGTAATAATAATAGTGATAATAATAATAGTAATAATAATAGTAGTAGTAGTAATAATAATAATAATGATACTAGTACTACTACTAATAATAATAATAATAATAAGTCGGAAACAGTAATAATAGAAATCGAAATCTCAAAAATGTGGCACATGGGAACATCAATAATCCCTGTTGTAGTTGGAGTCCTCGGATTGGTTGGAAAAGATTCCAGTAGACTCAATGAAGGGATTCCTGGAAGTCCATGCCTCAAAGAGATACAAAAAATTGCTCTGACAAGTACAGCCCACACTTTACGAAGGGCTTTATCTATGTAATTTTATTTTATTTTTATTTTTTTATTTTTTTGTCAGTGGAAAGTGCCATGCTGCCATTTCTAACCTTAGGTCCCTGGGTGGGACCCGGACAGAAATGTGTAAACGACAGAAATCTAAGAAAATAAAAATTATAATAATAATAATAATAACAATAATATTCAATCACGTACTCTACATGGATGATCTCAAACTCTTTGCCAAAGATGACAATGAGTTGAAAGGCCTCCTCAACATTGTAAAATACTTCAGTGTCGACATAGGTATGGACTTCGGATTAGATAAATGTGCAAAAGTAACATTCCAAAAAGGTAGAATTACAGAAACACCCTGCATAGATTTAGATTTTGTCACAAAGATTAGGGAACTGGGGCATGATGAAGCTTATAAGTACTTAGGAATTAGCGAAGGAGATGGCATACAACCCCACCACCACACACACACCAAATGAAGGAGAAAGTAAGAAAGGAGTACTGTAGGCGTGTAACTCAAAAAACAGAATATCAGCCATAAACACCTTGGCTGTGGTGCAATACAGCTTTAATATCCTTAACTGGACCATAGCTGAAATTAGGCGAATGGACGCCAAAACGAGAAAGCTTCTCACTTGCTACTCCATGCATCATCCCAAAGCTGATGTTGATCGTCTGTATGTGCCCAGATCCGAAGGTGGCAGAGAATTAGTTCAACTAGAACTGTCCTACAAAACTACTACAATTGGCCTCCAAAGATACTTGGAAACTACAGAAGACTGGATGATGGTATGCGTCAAGGAACATGAAAGTAGTAAGCGTCTTTACTCCGTAATAAAGGAAGCCAACAAATTCAAAATGGAGTTTCAAATGGGTGCAGAAATACAAATAAAGCACAGTACACCGACTGAAGATGCAAAATACTTAAAAAAAGAAAGCAAAGACAAATGCAACCGACCAGATACAAAAACAATGGCAAGATAAACCTCTTCATGGCCAATACTCTGCCCGTACCAAACAAGCTGACGTAGACAAGCCGTACCCATTAGTGGCTACGTAGTTCAGGGTTGAAAGCTGAAACTGAAGGTTTTATCCTTGCTACACAGGACCAATACTTGTTAACTAGAAATTATCAAGCACACATTCTAAAATATTGTGTTAGCTCAAAATTCAGATTCTGTGATAAATACCCAAAAACAATTGATCATCTTGTATCATGTTGCACGATATTGGCACCCACTGAGTATAAAACTCGCCATGACAGAGTGGGCCAATATCTGCACTGGAAAATCTGCAATTTCTACGGGAAGGAAACCGAAAGAAAGTGGTATAAACACCCCCCAGACCCGGTTACGGAGATAGGACCTGATACAATTTTATGGGAATACAAAATACACAGAGACAGAACAATCAAACTAACCACCTAGACATTGTTATTAAAGACCACAAACAAAAGAAGTGCCTCCTTATTGATATGGCAGTCCCTGCTGACTGCAATATATCTTTGAAGAATCTTCAACAATCTATCAAAATGCAAGGACCTTGAAATCGAAATCTCAGAAATGTGGCACATGGGAACATCAACAATCCCTGTTGAATTTGGAGACCTCTGATTGGTTGACTCCAGTAGACTAATTGAAGGGATTCCTGGAAGCCCACTCCTTAAAGAAATACAAAAAAATTGTTCTCTGCCCACACCTTACGAAGGACTTTACCTTGATGCCATTTCTAACCTTAGGTCTCTGAGCGGGAACAGGAAAGAAATGTGTACACACCAGAAATCAAAGGAAATATAATAATAATAATAATAATAATAATAATAATAATAAGCATGTACTGATTGCTGTCTAAGGGCAAGTTCTTAATAGAAATAACTCCGGAAGGATATCTATCAATACACACATATTATTAACAATATATATGTGTACCATTAAATCAATTCAGCGGCTCCAATGTGTGAGGTTGTTTACTATAGAAAAAAATACAGCAAAAAAAGACAAAAAGAAATAAATATATTAAATGGATTTATACAAAATTTTCAAAGGGTCTGAATGAAAATAACACAGAGAATTTTTTACGGGTGTTCGGATTTCTGCCCTAGGCATGCTGGTACGCATACACCGTTCTGCACAATGGTCCGAATATATTCGGATATGCATGTGTGTGCTTGTCTTCTGCTCTATGCCCTGAAATTGTTTTCTCCTGGCCAATATGTCTCTTCCGTTTTGGTTTGATATAGCTGAACACACTTGCTTTGTTGTGTTGATTAGCGCTGCCCAACGGCCAGAAGCAAAGTCACCTGCTGGATTTGGTTTTTCCAGCGTCTAGACTTGCGTTTCCTGAACAGAGATTTATTCATGGGGCCGGGAATTTCACTTGGAATGAAAGGGGATTTGAATTGAAAAAAAAATGGTTGGTATGTGTGTGTGGAGGAAAACATATATAAAAACTAGAAGAAGAAGAAAAAAAAACTAGAAGAAGAAGAAGTAGAAGAAGAAGAAAAAATAATAACAGATGGAAAATGAGAATGGATATATAAAAGAAAGAAAAGGATATAAATGAAGAAAATGGAAATGAAGGAAAGTAAGTAACATCTGTGAATCAAACTGAATTACACCTGACAATACGATAACCGATGTATGCTAATCAAAGAAAGAAAGAAAGAAAGAAAGAAAGAAAGAAAGAAAGAAAGAGAAAGGAAGAGAAAACGAGAAACTGAAAGAAAGAAAGAAAGAAAGAAAGAAAGAGAAAACGGGAAACTGAGAGAAAGAAAGAAAGAAAGAAAGAAAGAAAGAAAGAAAGAAAGAGAGAGAAAACGAAAAACTGAAAGAAAGAAATAAATAAAGAAAGAGAAAACGAGAAACTGAAAGAAAGAAAGAAAGAAAGAAAGAAAAAAACGAAAAACTGAAAGAAAGAAAGAGAAAACGAAAAACCGAAAGGAAGAAAGAAAGAAAGAGAAAACGAAAAACTGAAAGAAAGAAATAAAGAAAGAAAGAAAGAAAGAGAAAACGAAAAACTGAAAGAAAGAAAGAAAGAAAGAAAGAGAAAACGAAAAACTGAAAGAAAGAAAGAGAAAACGAAAAACCGAAAGAAAGAAAAAAGAGAAAACGAAAACTGAAAGAAAAAAAAGAAAGAAAGAGAAAACGAAAACTGAAAGAAAGAAATAAAGAAAGAAAGAAAGAAAGAGAAAACGAAAAACTGAAAGAAAGAAAGAAAGAAAGAAAGAGAAAACGAAAAACTGAAAGAAAGAAAGAGAAAACGAAAAACCGAAAGAAAGAAAGAAAGAGAAAACGAAAACTGAAAGAAAGAAAGAAAGAGAAAACGAAAAACTGAAAGAAAGAAAGAAAGAAAGAGAAAACGAAAAACTGAAAGAAAGAAAGAAAGAGAAAACGAAAAACTGAAAGAAAGAAAGAAAGAAAGAGAAAGCGAAAAACAGAAAGAAAGAAAGATAGAAAGAAAGAGAAAACGAGAAACTAAATAAAAAAAAGAAAGAGAGAAAGAAAGAGAAAACGGGAAACTGAACGAAAGAAACGAAAAACGAAATAATGATGGAAACCAGAGAAATTAAGAAAAATAGGAAGGAAAAAGAAATAGAAAAGCGAAAGAAAAAAAAATGAAAATAGAGAACGAAATGGAAAACTAAGTAAAAAGAATGAAAGAATGAAAGAAGAAATGGTGTAAGAAAAGGGAAAAGAAAGGAGTTAATTACAAGGGAAATAAAAAAGGAAGAATGGAAGGAAGGAAAAAAGAAGGAATATAGGAAAATGAAAAAATGAAAAAGAACAAATATGACAACAAATGAAGAAAACAAGTAACATGGAAAGAAAGAAAGAAAGAAAGAAAGAAAGAAAGAAAGAAAGAAAGAAAGAATGAGAGACAGAAAAAATAAAACGAAAGAAAGGAAACAGAAAAAAAAGAAAGAAGACAAAAAATAATACGAAAGAAAAAGGAGGCAGTAAATAATTAAATGAAGGAAAAAAAATGAAAGAAAGAACGAAATAACGAAGGAAGCGAGAAAAAGTGAGGAAAATATGAAGGAAAGAGAAATAGAAAAGCGAAAGAAGGAAACTGAAAAAAAAAGAAATATGACAAGTAATGAAATGAAAAATGAGTAAAAAGAAGGAAAGAATGAAAGAGGAGGAAAAGAAAAAGTAAAAAGAAAGCAGTAAATTATTATGAAAAAAAAACGAGGGACGGAAAAGAGGAAAACAAAGAAAAAAAAAGAAGGAAATAGGAAATAAAGATAGAATATAGGAAAACAAGAAGAAGAAGAAGAAGAAGAAGAAGAAGAAGAAGAAGAAGAAGAAGAAGAGGAGGAGGAGGAGGAGGAGAATGAGGCGGGGGAGGCGAAAAATTATAAGAAATGAAAAAACAAATAAAATAGAAAGAAAGAGAGAGAGAGAAAATAAGAAAAGAGAAAGAAAAATGGGAAATAGGACAGATAAGATAGAATATAGGAAAACGAGAAAAGAAGAAGGAGGAGGAGAAAATTATAAGAAATTAAAAAACAAGTAAAATAGAAAGAAAGAAAGAAAGAAAGAAAAGAGAAAGAAAAAAAAAGAAATAAGAAAATAAAGGTAGAATATAGGAAAACGAAAAAACTGCGAAAGAAAAAGGAAAATGACAAGAAATGAAAAAAGCAAAATAGCTAAGAAAGAAAGAAAGAAAGAAAGAAAGAAAGAAAGAAAGAAAAAATACACGATATAAAGAAAAAGAAAATGAAAGAAAGAATCAGGAGGGAAAGAGAGAACATGAAACGGCGAGAAAGAATACAAAAGTATGAAAATAGGAAAGAAAAAGAAAGAATGAAGAAAATGTTGGAAATGAAAGAAAAGAAAAAAGGCAGAAAATAATTTGGAGAAGGAAAAATGAAAAACGAAATAACGAAGGAAGCGAGAAAAAAGAAAATTATAAATGAAAGAGAAATTGAAAAGCGAAAGAAGAAAAATGAAAATAAAAAAATGAAAGGAATGAAAATAAAAAGAAAGGAAGAAATTATTTATTAGAGAAATAAAAACGGAATGAAGGAAGAAAAAACAAATGAGAAAAATAGTAAAGAAAGATGGAATATAGAAAAACGGAAAAAGGGAGAAAAATGTCAAGAAATGAACTAAAGTCAAATAGGAAGAAAGAAAGAAAAAAGAAAGAAAGAAAGAAAGAAAAAATAAAGAAAGAAAGAAAGAAGAAAGAAAAAACTGAAGCAATAGAAACAAAAAGTGAGATAGAAAATAGGAAAAAGCAATTAAAATAAAAAAATGAATATAGAAAGAAAATGGGAAAAAAGAAATAAAAAGAAAGAAAGAAAAAAGAAAGAAAGAAAAAAAGAAAGAAAGAAAGGAAAAAGAAGGACGGTAAAAAGGATGGATCGTAAATTAGTAGGCAATAAAGTATTGGAAACGGACGGAATGTGATGAGGAAAGAAAATGAAAGAAAGACGAAATTAGAAAGAAAAAGAATAAAGGAAAAAAATGAAAACAATAAATTGACAGGGAAGTACACAAAATGACACGAAATGGTGTTGGCACATAAGTAAAAGATAAAGAAAGAAAATGAATTCCCTGTTTTCAAGGATACTGAGAAAGCCAATCTTTCAAACAAGGGGCGGTAGCGTGTTCATTTTTATTAACCATTGTTTTATCAATTATGAGTTACGTTCATAAAAGAGGTTATGTTTAGGGAGCGTAGGTGTGTATTTTTCAACGAAATCTAACATCCGTTATATGCTTGTCGTCTAAGTTTTTTAATTTTAACGGCAAAAATTATTTCGACATTTTTTCCTACTTGTATATTTAAAGATTTTTTTTAGTGTATATTTAGGTTAGAATACGTTTTATTTAACTATAATTTCAAAATTAAAATTATTTTCAGTCTTAATTACTAATAGACTATATTTCTTTTTAAAACTAGTAAATGTAATAGAATTACTTAAATTATATAAAATTATTTTTTCATATCAAATATAAGTAGGTATATTACCAGTTCGCATTTTTTAATTTTATTTTTAAATATTATTTAAGGAAAATTTTTGACAATGACTGCAAAAATAGCTATTTCATTTCTCTGATTTAGTAAATTTTTATTTTTTATAAACTTAGTAATATATAGTTTCTCCTGTATGCACAAAGGACATGGATCATTTAATGACTTACATATTCATGCTTTTCTTATTAATTTTCATTTTACCGTCGGTGTTTTATTGGATTCTTTTAAGTGCCAGAAGTACTTTGAAAGAGATGTCTGATTTCTGTATTTATTTATCCTAAATGAACTTTGATGTTGATTGTACAGTTTCTTTGAACTCATGGCTTGTGCAACCTATATAGATTTTTATGTTTTCGAGATTCACAATAGATGAGATATTGCAGTGGTATACTAATGATTCCGTGCGACATTTATTCTGTAGAGGACAGTTATGAGGGTTTCTACAGTTACATAATTTTTGTTTATCTTCATCTATTTTTGTTTTTATTTTTCTATTGTTTAAAATTGTTTGGTTTAGGTCTAAGTATTTATTTAAGATATTGGCATTGTGTTTCTTAATAAATTTTTCTAAGTTTTCACTACAGCTGTAACTTAATTTTAGTGTATTTTTATTGAAAATAGTACTTAGTTTACTTTCTCTCGGAAAGTGCTTTACTATTAATGCAAGGAATTTTTGTCCTAATTTATTCTTTACCATTTGGTTGTATGGGGATGTATACCAAATTATTTTTCTACTTCTTTTTTTTCTATGCTTTCCATTTTCATTTTTTATATAAGTTAGTTTTGGGTTTTTGTAGACTTTAGTTTGACCTATCATTTAGAGCTTTATTATAGAAATTAATATGCTCATCGAAAATCTTCTCATTTGCTTAATTTGTACTTATTCTTTTTTTGGATAGATAAAGGTATAGATTGGGGATGATTTGATTATGGTGTATATATAAAGGATTGGTATTTTTTTTTATAAGGTGTGCATATATTTTTCCTTAAATCTAATGTTATATCAAGGAAGTTACCTTTTTTTTTTAATTTAGTGCTTATCGTAATTTTAAAGTTCCTGCTTTTAAATTATTTATAAAATATATTTCTAATTTTATTGATTTATAGTTAGTAGATTTCTTTATGACCATAAGTCCATCGTCTCTGTATAAACCAATGTCAGTTATAATAATTTCACGGTGCGCTGTAAGATTGTATGATATAATAAGACCTATGAGATCAGAAGACTCAGCTGAGTATAGTGATCCCATTGTGATGTGAAAGTGGTCATATTAAGTTATTATCCATTGTTCACATTTATGTATCAGTACAGATGTTTTCGCATTTATAATAACGTTCTTTTCTTCTTCAGTAATATCCGTGTACTGGTTAGTAAAGTCATGAATAGTTCTTTAGATATTGATTGATAATAATTTTCAATATCGAACTGCATTAATGTACAGTTGTTTGTTTTTTTCCTTTATATAAGGAAACCAGTTTGCCACGTCTTTGGTATAAATCCAGAGTTCCAGGCATATTTTTACTTTGATTTGTTGATTTACCCTTTCAAGGAGGATCATTTTACTAATTTTCCCGATATCAGCTCTTGTAGAGTTCATTATCGTAGTCGTCGGATTAGCCTCAAAGTCTGGTTTGGCGTCCTTTAAGGTTATACAGCACTCTCTTTCTTTTAGTTGACCTATTTTATCACTAATTTTCAGTTTGTCTGTGATTTTTTTACTGCTAGTATTAATATTCTCCACCATGTTGAGATCATTATTATTTGACTTTTTATAGTTCTTATGTACATTCTTATTTATTAGATAGTTGTAGTCCTTTGTTGTTATTTTATAGAAATTTTTGAAACATGGTTAAAATATTTATGCTCTGTAAATTTACATTGAGCACAGTTTTGTAATAATAAAAATAAAAATTATCAATAAGAACACCGGATTATATAGCTTACTGTTCTTATATATATATATATATATATATATATATATATATATATATATATATACTTAGTTGTATTGATGCGAGTTTGTGACCCTGGGTTTCACGCCCTTGCGATCTTCAGGCAAACTTTTGTTTGAGGATCACAATGGCGGGAAACCGAGGGTCACAAACTCACATCAATACAACCAAGTATGTTAGCTCTGTTATCACCGATACAGACCGCTTTCCGATAGGTACCGCGCATATATAATATATAAATAATATATATAGAAAATACATACACACACACACACACACACACACATATATATATATATATATATATATATATATATATATATAACTTTAACGCCTCAAAAACAAAACTGCTCTCTTTTCCTCATCACAGAGAACCATCCCTCCCCTCATTAGAATGTCTGACGCTCAACTTCTGGAAAGATCCTTCTTGTGACTACTTGATCTCACATTGACTGTTGACCTGAGATGGAACAAATACATTGAGTCAATATCTTGGTCCACAGCGAGGAATGTTGGCTCCTTGTCTCACGCCAGGAAATTTTTCTCGTCGGAGTCGATCCTTCAAATCTACAAATCAACAATTCGCCCTTGCATGGAGTATTGTTGTCATATATGGTCTGGAACCCCTTCTGTTTGTCTCAAGGTTCTTGATAAAATCCAAAGACTGATGTGCAATATAATTGGCCCTGATATGGCATCTCGTCTGCAGTTGCTCTTTCACAGACGTACCATCACCTCCCTCTGTCATTTTTACAAATACCTACATGGTAACTGCTCCGATGATCTGCTTTCGCTGGTTTCCAGACTTCATGAATTTAAGCGTTCTACAAGGCTGGCATCCGCTCTCACCCTTTCACTGTCAAACAAAACTGTTAAATGTAGCTGTCTCTTCTACTCCAATAGCTTCACTTCTCGCACTTCTTGCATGTGGAACTCCCTCCCCATTTCCTGCTTCCCTGATAGCTATAATCTGTAACTATTCAAATGTAACGTCAATCGACGTCTCCAGATGCCCTGATCTATCCCCTATCCTTCTCTTTATCCTTTCCTCTATCACTCCTATTTGCTCTCGCCCCAATTGTTTGTAACCCCTTGCGCGGTAGTGGCTTTACCGTCTTGCTTGGGGTGAAACGCATGTGTGTGTGTGTGTGTGTGTGTGTGTGTGTGTGTGTGTGTGTGTGTGTGTGTAAATTTAATTTAAAATTTTAAAAAATACAATCTTAAGGATCCATTGATTATATTTTATTTCCCAGGAAAGTGTTTTTCCTGGTTCCTAATATCACATTTTCCAAGTTTAAAACGTTAAAAAAAAAGATTTTATGCTTGTAAATGTGATCTGAGGAACCAGGAAAAAACACTTTCCTGAGAAATAAAATATAATCCATGGATCCTTAAGTCTGTCTTTCTTTTTAATTAAATTAATATTCGCTCTCGTTTTACATTGAGCTCTCTGGATTTAATCCTGCATGTGATTATCCACTCCACACAGATTACCAAACTTTTCATTACCTAACTATATATATCAAAACCCAAACACAATCAAACACGCATATATATATATATGTGTGTGTGTGTGTGTGTGTAATAGAAATAATTAGGAGAATTTGAGGTAATATTAATTAAGTAATTCATCGACTGTACTAGAAACCTCAACATAATGTAGAACGCACTGGACGACCGTTTCGTCTTATTTTAAGAACTCAGGAGCAGTGCGCATCCACTACCAGGAATTGAAACCCGGACAGTTACAATATCAGGCAAACGTCATATCAACTGTACCAACGGGCCTCGGTGATGAAGCGGTAGAGAATTAGACTCGATATAGCGGCGCTCGATCACATATTCCTCCGTGGAACTCATCCGAGTTCCCCTTACCCATAGGACTGTGCCCCCACGAGCCATAACTAATATGCACAGGCAGCTTCATCCAGAGCATTAGAAGCCGGTTCAAACAAGGATATACAAGTTATAGTAATTATGAGAAGGATTTGAGTTAATCATATTTAAGTATTTCATATAGTTCAGTGCTTTCTGTATTCTGTTGAGGTTTCTTCTAGACCCGATGAATTACTTAATCAGATACACACACACACACATACACGCACACACACACACAAACACATACATACCCCCCATATATATATATATATATATATATATATATATATATATATATATATATATATATATATCATGGGTCCTTACCTATAACTACAGAATGAACTCTTCCTAACACTATGTATACTACCCATCTCAAGAG